ACCCTTTTATTTCTGTCACTAACAGATGTAATCAACATGACTCCAAGTTTTTTTTCTCTCTCTCGTTTTTTTTTTTTTTTGTTTTTAATTTTATGTTCCAACATTAACTTATCGTTAACAATTAATTAACCCACGTCAGGTGTCCCATATGAAAGAACAAACTAATATGTACATTGAACAATGAAGAGACAGATAATTGCAAATTGCTTAATTAGCTTATGCTTGGCCTGAAAGAAGCATATGCAAGGATTTCGGGATCTTGTTCAAGTTTTCTCATATCTTCCTCTGTTAAACTTATCCATGCTTCGATTCCCTGACCGTCACTAGCATCCAGCAGAATGGCAAGCTTGTTCATCCGCAAGGCAGTCCCCACCCAAACGGGCTTTCCCCATCCAAAATCTGTTTCATAAAATGGAAATCGACACCAACTACTGAAAGCAAAGGTCACCATTGCTTCCAAACCATTCTTCTGTTCATCGGTATTAATTTTTCTGATCATCATGCTTAAGTATTCCCCACGCTTCCTCACATACTCCTCTTTCATCCTTTTTATTGACTCGTGAATTTTTCTAGCTAGACTGCTGTGTTTTACGTTCTTCTCCATCATCGAAGTTGCCATGGTCGATTGGTAAATGTTTCCAATGCACAATTCAGGTAACACCGGATTCATTATCTTCCTTAGGTTCACTGGAAATACTGCCACATGCATTGGAATATTTCCAGTCTTCTCCATAGCCATCGAAGCACCCCATATGAGGGCGGAGACCGCCTCTACCCGCGTGGGACGGTAAAAACCTTCTTTCTGCTCCATGCTGATTTTGTTTCTTAAAGCGGCTATCTTCGAACCATCAAACAAAAACCTTTTCATTACACAATTGGCGTGCCGCATTTTCATTATATTTTCCATGAACTGTTGTAACTTTGTTGAATCTTGCGGAGGGAAGAGAGAGGTGCAATCGTAAATCACACCAGTAACGTCAATATCATTTACTCCAGAAGCAGTTGCTGCCCAGCTTTTAACAAAGCTGGCTGTAGCTGACGCATCCGCAGTTACATGACTAATGCATACACCAATGGCCATGCCACCACAAGCAAAGTAATTAACCTGAACTGCTAGGATTACCCGGCTACTGGGATCAGCAAACTTTTCAAGTGGATCACAAGGAAGTAGCCTTTGCAGCATATCAATCTCTGGTTCATTAAGAACCACATCAGACATGTCAGCTTCTATTTGAGCTTCAACGTAGGTGGCACCACGATCGTTGCAGTCAATTGTGCAAGCATCATCCTTGTTGATCTGTCCGGCCAATGGATAGAAGTGGGCTAATGTTTTTGAGAGGGATTTCTTGAGGTGATCCGACCATCTTTTCCTATGATTTTTGAGATCATCAGTAGGAGAATAAAAAAGAAGAATTGGTACGTAAACTGGAGGAGCTAACTGATCAAAAAGAGAGAGATTGAAAGTTTTTAGGTGGGGTGGGATCGAAGGGGAAGGTTTGATGGTTTCGGTGGAGATGATTTGGACTTTGATCATGTCCATTTTCGCTCTTAATGGCTAAGTCTAAATTGTATTGATTTAGTTTCATTGATACGAGCACTATATATAGAACCCAATGGGTCATGTGGAGTTTGGACCCCCTATACTTTTGAAAAGAATCAAATTCCGTCCTTGGATCTTATTCAAAAGACGATTCAAACATATTAAAGAGAGAGAGAGAGAGAGAGCCATGATTTTTGGATTCAAACTTTAAGGATGTGATTTTTGTCGTTAGCTTCGTAAATTGTAATTGCAGTCATGACAATCCATTGATTATCTAATGGATTGCTCTGGCTTCTTTGAAAAATATGAGCCGTAATTTTCCTCGTTTAAGAATTGGTAGGCTGCTTGATTGCTTTCAGTGATGCAAGCATAATAACGAGGTATGCAATATGGGAATATTGTCTACGTAGGCTCTACACAAATTTAATTTTTAATTTAAAACCAATTAATTATAGGTGAAACAATTTTTTTTATTTTTAACTCATAAATTTTTTCATTTTATACTTAATGTAAAATTTTTCTACTCAACACAATAGTTTAACCTGCAGGCAATGAACTTTAATATGGTAATGCATTTTAATTATTTACTAAATACGTTTGCAGTTGGATTTTACATTTCAACAAGGTGTAGAAGCAGTTAGAATTCTTCTACTAGAGGGTTTAGATAAAAGTGCGACATCGTCAACAGTGCCAGACGAGGGAACAACTTGGATAATTTATTTTATTATCTGGAAATTTAATTGGAAAATGACTCTGTTGGGGAGGGAATTACAGGAGGAGAAGGAGTTATTGGGGTTGATAGAGGGTGTGAGACTGCAGGCTGGACAAGAGGGTAAAAGGATTTGGAAATTTGATGGAATCGGAGTGTACACATCCAAAAAAAGCCTATAGCCTTTTGACTTCAGATCAAAGAATCTTGGATGCTGTTTCATGCAAAGCAATTTGGAATAATTTTTTTGTTGGAAAGATGAGTTTTTTTGCTTGGAGGTTGTTTCTAGACAAGTTTCTGACAAAGAGGAATTTGAGTTCAAAAGGGATTAACATGGATGACGATAACAGTTTCTTCGTTTTTATGTTGGAAAGCTATGGAAGATGCAGATCATGTTTTTTGTGCAATATTCATTTACTTATAATGTGTGTGGATGGAGATCTTAGCTTGGTGGGGCATTCATACAGCAGTTGGCGGTAGCGTGAATCAGGCTTTTTGGCAGCTTAGTCAAGCGTGGCAGTATGACAAAACGCAAGCTGTCTGGTCCTTTTTGTTCATCTCAGTCATGTGGCATCTTTAGGGCCTGAGAAATAAAGTGATCTTTAAAAGGGTGGAGATGGATGTTGATAGTACGAAGAAGCAAGAGCCAAATAAGGAAACAAATGACAGCAAATGTGAGCAATCAAGATCTGAATTGAACAAGGAAATAGCAGCAAAAGAGGAAGGGAATTATCTGTCATAATTCCTCAACGGTCA